GGAGGAGGAGGGGCTCGGGGCCGAGGCGCTTGTCGATTTGACTCCATGGAGGGGGAGGTCCGGAGGGTAGGGCTAAGGAGGGGGGGAGGAAGGGAGGGAGGGAGTGGGACCAGGGGGGAGGAAGGGAGGGAGGGAGGGAGGGAGAGGAGGGGGAGGAGGGGGAGGAAGGGAGGGAGGGAGTGGCATGCATGAACGTGGCAGTCCTCTATCTCTTCTTCCAAAATGTGCTAGCTACGTTGGGGAAAATGCCATCCGTTACCCGTGCAGGGCTAGCGATATTCTCTTCCCTTGTCTCCCTCGGCGTACCGGGTGTCAATGTTTTTAGGATGGCCACCCCCACCTTCTTTTCGCTCTTCTTTAGCCGCGTCACCCCCACGGGCATCACGTCGAACAAATTCCCGCCTTTCTGGTGGCTTTTGGGCGCCAGAACAAAGCCCCTATCGCGCGATCGGTAGTCGTTGCTGAATGCGTGGCCATTTCGGTCGCCCTGCTTGCGGGCACGACCTTTTCTTTTCGCCGTGGAACCCGGTGGGGGATAGTGCTGAGGTGGGGGCCGCTGTGTGCACTGGAATAGGAAAATCAAACAACCATCAAAGGGAATATCCGTCCCAGGAGCAAGTGCTCGGGTGTACATTCAGCGCCATCACATTCCACAGACAGGCCAAGCGTCGAAAATCCTGCCCGGTTTAGGAAGTTGTACCATGGCCCGCAGGAAACAAGGAAAAAAATGAGACGGGGTTCCGAGATTTTTTCCCAAAGGACGCACCTGTCTTTTGGTCAAGCCCTCGCCGCGGGCTTTGGGCGCAAAATAACGCCCTCCTTTACTGCGTCCCCCTTTTCGACCGCGTGGGGCTTTACCCATACCGAAGCGGACTGTATTTGATATGCGGTTAAAAATGGGGAGGGGGGGAGGTATGCCAGGAGGTAGAAGAGAGATAGCAGAATCAATAAACGCCTCAAAAAGGGCAGCCATCGCTGTCTGCCATCAAAGCACTTTCAAGTTTCTATACAAGATGCTATTTCCCTTGAGTTCGTCGCGGTATTGTGGTAGAGAAACCTCGCATTAAAGGCGGCTGGTGCGCCTGAGCATATCGCTGCCATGGAGTCGTCTCTCTTCAGCTCCATCTTTACCCTCCACCCTCTTCCATACTATTCCAGAATCTATGACACGCCATCGCCCGTTCTCAGTCGAAAATGACCAACCCTGATAGAGGGAAATCCGAAAATAGGCATGATTGTGGGCAAGGAGGGAAAACTGTTGTAGTGCTAAAAAACCAACAGACCTCAAGCACTGAGCAGAGAGGGCGGTGCTCGAGTCTCACTGCGCATGCCATTTCATCTTCTCTCACGAGACGACGCCACCCCATAAACATATACTAGAGCGTCAAAGCGGAGAGTCGAGGAAGGCGTTCAGCTCTTCTTTGTCTGCCGTTGCATTTGGAAAGTCTGCATATGACTGCAAGCCGGACCTTTTGGCCCCAGCACTCTCACTAGGTAGGAGACGTCTTTCGAAAGCCAGACTCACCGCCTCCATTGACCGATACAAAGACATGGGCGAGGCTCTTTTGTGTTTATTGGAAAGGCCTTCTCGGGACAGATTAGTTCGTAGGAAGGGGGGGGAAGAGGTATTACGACGAGCCCGCCGCCTGCATGACCTCTGTGGGACGGAGCAATCAAGCATTACATTCCCTTTCTTCTGGGGCTTCCCTGCTTCCATCCCGGGTTGAACAGTGCGATTCATGGTGCAGTCCGGCCCTCGTTGCAGCGCTGCCTGGCCGACGCGCGCATGACCACCGCCCTTTCTACCCTAGTACCTCATTGCCCCCTGCCTTGCCTTTTCCCCCACCAGGCTTGCCGATTCCAAGCAGGATGAGTAGCCTGCCCACCTCCGCCGCCTCGGGCGTCTACGAAGTGGAGGCCTCGGACGTGATCAAACTCATCCTTCAATTTTGCAAGGAAAACAATTTGCACAGGACACTCCACACCCTTCAGTCGGAATCCCAGGTGGCCATGAACTCGGTGGACTCTATGGAGAATTTTCTCAGCGACGTTACCCAAGGAAGGTGGGACAGTGTTTTGCCTCAAGCGGCGGGGCTTCAACTACCCCAAGACAAACTGCTGGCGCTCTATGAGCAGGTCCGTGGGTTGAATGAGCGGCACCTAGGGATGGGAACCCCAACGGAAGGAAAGCCTTGCAGGTTGTTTTTACCCTTTCTTTGTTCCTGTATTGTTGGTATCCCTAGCAAGGGCTCGACCGTGAGCATTTCGTCGATACTGTCAGGGCTGAAAGTGCCGCACGACCCAAATTCATATGTGACCCGTCGCTCCGGGTAGCCTTTTTCTTCTCGTCCTGAACATGCTTCCTAATATCTGGCTATCGATCTCTTCCCCCCACTTTTCACGCTGTTTTACTCCCGCAGGTCTGTCTCGAACTCATCGAAATGCGTGAAACGGAACTGGCCCGGGAAATGTTGCGAACGACAGAGCCATTACAGCTTTTAAAAACTCAAGACCCGGACCGTTACTTTCGGTTGGAAACATTTTTGAACCGCAAGATCCACGACGCGCAGGAGCTGTATGCCTACGGCCTCAACAAGGAGCGGAGACGGCAGGAGATCGCCGACAGCCTCGCCGTCGAAGTCTCCGTCGTTCCCCCTTCCCGCCTTCTTGCCCTCTTGCAGCAGGCCTTAAGGTATCAGCAACTTCAAGGAAACCTGCCCAAGGACCGGCGTTACGATCTTTTTCGAGGCAGCGCCCGCTCCGCGGGGAAGGACGAGGCGGAACGGCCCCCTAAGAAGCAGGTGCTCACATGCTTCTTTTCCAGCCCCTGTGGAAGATACCCGGACCTTTCGGACTTTTTCTGGAAAACCCCGTCGTTGGTACCATTGCCGCGCCCCCTTCCCCGAAGCTCATGCATTCTGCGCTTCCCTTTTCTCTTTTCCCTCTCCCCCCCCCCTCTTCCCTTTCCCCCCCCTCAAATTGTATTTCTTAATAGGCGGGCCAAATCAAATTCGGATCCAAAACACACCCAGAGTGCGCGCGTTTCTCCCCTGATGGCCTGCAGCTCGTCACGGGTTCTTTGGATGGCTTTGTGGAAGTGTGGGACCCGGACACCTGCCGGCTTCGGAAGGACCTGCCCTACCAAGCCCGGGAAGAATTGATGATGCACGACGCGGCGGTCTTGGCCCTGGCGTTCTCCAGGGACGGAGAGATGCTGGCGACGGGGGACACGGACGGGGCTGTCAAGGTACCCGGAGGAGAGCAGGGGGGCCGTTGGGGCGGGAAAGGGGATAGGGGGGTGCCGAGGTGGCCAGAGAAAAGGTCTCTGGTGTCAATCGAGGAATTAGAACAGGCACGGGGGGCGGCATGAATCGTCCTTCCTCCCTCCCTTTCTCCTTCCCTCCTTCCCTCCTTCCCTACTTCCCTCCCTCCTTCCCACCTTTCCTCCTTCCCTCCCCTTCTCCCCACCTTGTCTCTTCCGGTGCCCGCAGGTATGGAAACTGAGCAGTGGGAAGTGCCTCCGCCACCTTCCCCACGCCCACAGCAAAGGCATTACCTCCCTGGCGTTTTCCCGAGATTCCTTGCAGCTGGCGACGGCGTCGTTCGACGGGACCGCGCGCTTGCACGGGGTCAAGGCAGGCAGGGTTTTGAAGGTGAGAGTGCTAGGCCAGGCACTAGATGTATTCTCCCTTTCATTGTCGCTGCGGGGGAGGAAGGGGGGGGGGGGAGAAGGGAGGGGGGGGCGTTGATGACACGACCGTGGGCGACTATCCTTTTGGTGGTTGGGGGGCCTACCGCGAAGAGAAGGGAGGCACAATGCAACGCGTCCTTTGCTCCATGTCGGGATAGAAAATGACAGGGACATAGCGAGGCGTACCATGCCATGTGCTGGACGCCAATGCCGATGTTTCGATCCTATTCACGACCCCTCTGTCCCCTGAGTGGCCTGCATGCCGCGTCTTGCTGCCGAAGCTCCTGGCCTGGAGGACACGATGGAGCAACCGTCCCACTGAAGATGTTTTCGCTTTTTGTTGTGCTCTTTCCTTTTCCTCCTTATGAGAAATTGACTGAACCTTCTTCCGCTTTCCGTTTCGCTCCCTCCTCCTCCTCCTCGGAAAACCTTTCCCCCCCGCTCCAGGAGTTCCGGGGGCACTCCTCCTTTGTGAACTGCATCTGTTTCACCCAAGACGGGAGCCGCCTCTTGACTGGCAGCAGCGACGGCACGGTCAAAGTGTGGGACGCCCGGAGCAGCGAATGCCTCCACACCTTCCGACCGGGGGTGGAGTCCGCGGTCGATCTGGAGGCGATGGTGCATACGGTCCTGCCCTTGCCAGGGGGAGCTGACTTGTTTTTTATCGCCAACCGGACCTCCACGGCCTATGTGACGACGGCACAGGGGCAGGTGGTGAAAAGGATGTCGAGCGGGAAGAAAGTAGGGGGGGATTTCGCCGCGGCCGCCCTGAGTCCCAAGGGTACTTTTGCGCATTGTGCGGGGGAGGACGGGATAGTGTATTCTTTTCAGCTGGGGAAAGGGGATTTGGAAAGCTTTGTGAAGGTGGGGGAGAAGGAAGTGATCGGGGTGGCCCACCACCCGCACCGGAATTTGGTGGTGACGTTTGGGGACGAAGGCGTGCTCAAGGTGTGGAGGGCGTGAGGGAGGGAGGGAAGGAGGAAGGGAGAGAGGGAGGGAGGGAGGGAAGGAGGATGTCGAAATCGGCTCCATTCAAATTACTCGTCATGGTGTCTGGCCCCGAGCACGAGTCCGTGTGACTTTGTCTTCTTGTTACAAAATGCCATCGCTTCCCGTTACCCCCCCGCCCCCTAGTCATTCGACCCCCGAGTCGATGCAACCGGGGACTGCCCACTAATGCCTCCCGCCCCTCTTGCGTTTTTGAAGGACGCGTGCCAACAATCCTCTCTTGTGCGGGGGTTGCAATCTGGTATGGTCGCCTTCTCCCCACCGCCCGTACGTTTCAGCCGAGGGTAGGGTGAAAACCCTCCGCGCTCTCTCTCATATAGGCGACAATACCGGCAACCCATCGCACTCCAAGGTCCCAAACATCACCACCTTTCCCTCCCTTCCACCCTCGTCCCCACCCTCCCCCTCTTCGTCCCCGGGCGCCGCCAAACTCGAGACACCACTGCCGGTCTGAGTGCTCTCTTCGTCGTCCATGTCGCCTCTCGTCCCGTCCCTCCCCATCCGCGGGGGCCACAAGGCAGCGCCTGCCTCCACATCCGACGGAGCCTGGCCCCGCCTCGCCCGCCCTCCCCCCCTTCCTTCGACCCCCCCTCGCCCTCCTCTCCTCCTTCGGGGCCCAAACCGTCCACGGATCGGAAGATGTACCAGCAAATGCCGGCGGCCAACAAATCCAACGCCGCCGCCACCCAAAATGGCAACCCCAACATCCACTCGCTCCCTCCCCCTGGCCCTTTTTCTTCCCCAGCTTGGCGCAAGGACAGAGCTACAATGGCACCGAAGATCGGGCCGCCGACAGCCTTGCTGAGCACGCGCAGGCTCGAGACGGAGCCTTGGAGCACCCCCTGCTGCTCGGGGGCGATGCCCTTGGCCAGCGCGGACATGAGGCCGGGGTTTTTTAGGGAGGCGGCCATCTGGGCAGGGAGGGAGGGAGGGAGGGAAGGGAAGTGGGTGGGATGTGAAGATATTCGTCGGCTGGGATGCCCTTGTGCTAGCCCCATACACGATGAGGGGGGGCGCAATTTTTCTTTTTCATCGGTACTTCCTAAATGCACCCACATGAATAGGCCGGGCATAGCGATGCAAGAAAACAAAGGACGTTCATTGTAAACATCTGGAGAAGCGAGAAGGGGGGAGGGGGGGGAGCGGAAAAGAGGGACTCGGGACCCACCTGGGGCAGTATCGTCAGGCCCATCATCCAGCCGTGGGTGGCTACCGATATCACCCCCATGGCCAGGGCATGCCCGAAGAGACCGACGGTGACACAGCCGTTCTCGCTCACAAAGCGGGGGACGAAATAGCGCAAACTCCCCTGGATAATGGCGAGGCAGATCCCGATGATGGAGACGTAAAAACCCAAGGTCATGTAACCCCACCCGAAGCGGCGTTTGGTGTACAGCACGACGAATTGGTAGACGCATTCCGTCAGCTGGTTCAAGAAGAATGGCCCGGAAAAGAGCTGGAAACGCCGAAAACGCATGGCCTCCCGAAGCACGAAGAAAGGATTGGCTTTCCTCCAATTGATGTTCAAAGCCCGGTGGCACGCCTGCAAACTCTCTGCCATGGACCAGGCAATGACAATGGAGACGCCTAGAAAGGCAAGCGAGAGGTAAATCGGGTAGAGGACATTCATTTTTTGTAAGACAGGACCGATGGCGGGGCTGTAGGGTAATGGGAGGGGAAAGAGCTGTAAGTCGATCGTGCCAGGCGGAACCATGGAATGCCTGCGGAAGCACTCAATAGACTTTATGCGACTTTTTCGACACACATGCACAATGTCCCCAGGCCCCTGATGATATCCGCGTACGATCCTGCTACGGCCATCCATTTTGCAGGGATCTCCACATGCTTGTTCCTCCCATGCCCCCCCTTGGTCTCCAATGCTCGCATCCAGACACCCCCCCAACGACATCAAACCAGCCGGAAGCACGCTGAGACTAAAAGAGGTTGTGTGGGACGTACCCTAGAATCATGGACAGCCCAATCGCCATCCCCAGCCTTCCGTACTGCTGTGCTAACTCTCCCTCCCCGGTCTTGCCTTGCGCGGAACACAGGTCGGCAACGATGGCATTGATCATGCCCAGGGTCACGTTGCTCGCGCCGTTGATGAGGAAATAAATTAGGACGCTGTGCCGCGTTGGCAAGATCGCGACCACCATCAGGGAGGCGAAGTGAAGGAGGAGGGAAAGAAGCAATATGGGCCGGCGACCGACGCTGTCGCTCAGGTTACCCAATACCGGCGAAGAGAAAAATTGGACGCCTCGTTCTACCCCGGCACAGACGCCTAGGAAGGCAGCCGTTTGTGAGTAATTGTTTCCAAAATCGTTTAGAAGCAGTTCGGTGAAGGTGGTGAACAGGACCCCGAAGCTTATGTGGTAGAAGAACCCCAAGGCGCGGCAGAGTTTTTTCGTTCGCACCAATTGCTTTGCATGATGATTGTGTCCGTGTATTTGGTTCTCCAAATTATCAGACGCGTGAATAGAGTCAAAGGGTGTGACTTGACGCCGGCCTCCATCACCGGTTCGTAATGGAGTGGTAATGCCCTCCTCTGTGGGGGAGAGGATGACCACTTTCTCCTCATTTACTAGAACAGGAGTAATAGGTAGCTCTGTCATGCCAGATGGACCACCTCCTGGACTTAATCTGTTACCATAAGCCCCATTTACACGCTTTCGAGGGCTGGCGTCCATAGCAGAGCCTAATATATATGGGTTAGGGGGGGAGGGTTAAGGCAAAGATCTGTGTCGAATCCCCGTTGTGATCAATGAGCACGCCCCCTATTTTTTGCTTATAAGAAAGAGATATTGAGGAAGCATGCCTAGTGGAGTCTCAAATAAATTACGCACGCATTCGACGTTTTTAATAAAAAAAAACAACGAAAGGAAGGAAGAAAAAAAGCTCCATCCTTCGGAGAGGGACCCAAAAAGCGGAGGTTGATCTTTTTAAAATTTTGAATATCAAGCCCAGTTGCTATGTCGCCTCTGTCTCATCTGTACATGATGTGCTTTAGGTCCCACGCGCCATGCTTTCGTACCACTGCACGATTATTAACCTGCGCTTACCCATTCTGTGTACAGACTTATTTTTGACGCCGGACAATCATGTCCGAGTATTCTTCCGCTGATTCCTCCGATAAGCTTTCCCCCCCGGCTTCTGCTCGGTTGCCACCTCCTCCTACTTCACTGCGCAGCAACACTGCTTCCTGTAGGTACAAAAACGCAACGCGCGTCGTAATCTTTAACATTCTCGATATAAGTTTTCATTATTTATTCGTTTCAATGTAAAGTGCTATCTAGGATTCAAGCTTTCATACCTCAGATCGCTCAAGCCAACGCCCACTTGGAAGAGCGCCTTCAATCAGGTCAAGGAGCAGGTATATAGAAGCCTCTAGACTCTATCTAACTTTCTTACGTTTACGTTTACCTTTTTGTCTTTACGTCTTAATGTTTTCACCACAATGCATGCTGAACATGGTTTGTGGAGCTCTTGCGAACAACACGCTCACGTGTAGGACTAGATAGGACCTTTAGCCGTCTATTACGTAAATGGCTTCTCTTTTGAATGCTTCGGGCGCATATTCTTTTGTCGGAGATTCCAATAAATGCTACGCTGCACGCTGCTTTTGAGCAAGGGCGTGCGCTGGCTCCTCGGTTAACCTACTCGTACCAACCCTTCCCCTTCAACAGATGTGCGGCTCGACACGGACCTATCAGCGAAGCAAACGGACCGGGACGAAGGCGAGGAAGATGCAGCACATGAGGAGGAGCAGGAGCAAGCCGTCATTAGCTTGGATCTTGCCGTCGGGCCCGTAGATGAGAGGCTCGTTGCCGCTCTGGAAGGGGACGAGGGTGGTGGGAGTAGGGAGGAGGCGAAGGAGACCTCAGGAATGGAAGAGGAGGAGGAAAAGACCGAGAGGGTGCTCTCCTTGTTGGGAGGAAGAAAAAGGGCGGACGAAGCGGCGGGAGAGGGAGCAGAAAAGGCTGGAACGAGGCATAAAGGGTCGAAGAAGCCGTTGATTCAGGAACTCACTTGACATGGTTCAGAGCCTAGGAATTCCATGCTTGGATCTGGGAATCTCACATCGATTTGCGCATATTCGGAGATGGCGTGTAATGTCCTCCTCCTATCTTAAGGAAAAAAATATAGGCACACAAACATACTCCGGCAGATGGTGGAGGCCCTTGTCCCCCCCGCCCCCTCTTGATCGCTGTCCAACCCCCAAAACGAAGCGATGGCGCTTATCCCTTCATACTTTTTTGCATTTCATTGTCATGCAGCACAGTGTCAACCCTTGTGCCCGCCCTGGATGTTCGGCATCCCCTAAGTAGCCTCTTCCTTCCTTCCTCGCTTTCCTCCCACCCTCCCCCGCGCGTCCCCCTATCAGGCATTATCACTGCGCTTACAGGCACCCGTGTCCCCACAAAACACCTGGGCCTCCCATTCTGCCTCCTGTGGCCCGTGTAAGCTTCTCCCCCTCCCTCCTCATCACTCATACCAACCGAAACCGCAAGGCTATTTCCTGCGCGGGTTCGACTCCGCGCCCGGCCACGGCTTGCCGCGCACCCTCCCTCGCGCCATCCCTCCAGCCTTTTTGCCTCCCTCCGATCCATGTCTGTGGCTTTTGGTCCTCTTTGCCTCTTCTGTCTCCTCCTTCCACGTCCCCGCCTCGTCCTCCCTCCTGCTTGTCCACCCCCCCCGGCCCCTCCTTCGA